TGTCACCACCACCATCAAAAGCGTATGAGTGGCTACAGCTGACCAAAGACCTCTCCTCATACGGAGAAGGTTTGAGCATTAATCGCCACGGTTGCTCAATGCGGGTTGACAACTTCACACTCAAAATTATAAATTATAGGCCCTGGTTTCCTCACTATGTTTAACCTTCACCATTTGTTATTGGTGTCTAAATAAAAAAAAGTCACATTGGTAGTTGCCGTTGGTAGGTTTCGAGCCCGCGCCCTCATGCATGAGAAGCGGGAGTGTTAAACCTCTAGGCTACCACGAGATATACTAGTTCTAATGTACTTGCCAATAACAAACCGTACTGTAAGACTTAATAGGATAATTAAGCTAAAGAGTTAGCTCTCTTTTTCACAACTTTTAAGAAGTTTACCCAAAAATATCGTGACTTCAATCACTTCAATGAGTATCGCGTTTACACTATGATGGGGCAAAAAACCGTCCATCTGTGCCAGGTACAGAGTTCGCGTGAACAAATCAACTACCGAGGGGTGATATTAGGAGTACATTGAGCTGTGGATATACTGAGCGAGGTAGCTGTGGAGATATGCGACAAAAACGTCAACAATACTATATCATCCTTTATACTATTATAAATGGGAAAGTGAGTTTGTTTGTTTGTTTGTTCCGCTTTCACGCCGTAACTTCTCAACCGATTGCTTTGAATTTTTGCAGACGGAAAATTAGAAGTCCGGATTAAATAATAGGGTACTTTTTATCCCGGAAAATTTTGGTATTCCCGAGGGAAAACAAAAGAATTGGTATAGATGGCGCTGTGTGTATTGGTATAGGCTACTTTATCCTTTTGTGACGCGAGCGAAGCCGCGGGTAAGCCTTTACCCGCGGCTTCGTAGTTGCGGCTAGTAATATATTTATTTATTTTATTTATGGATAGGAAAACCAACAGCTACACATAGCAAACAAACAGATATTATAATAACACCAGAAAGCCAATTACAGGTTTTCACGATTAGATTTCACATTATTCAATTAAAAAAACACTCACAGTCTAAACAAATTACATTTAGGGAAAGAAAATAATAATAAAAAAACAAAACAAGAGCATATACCAACTAAATATAAACATAAAAAGTGAACACACACCAACCATACTACCGACAATAACAAATTAATAATCAACTAACTTAATTTACTCATCAATTAAAAAACTGAAGAGTGAGCATCCTTCGCACCGCAGAAGTCCGCGTTACAACGGATCTATTGGATACTCCTTACACAAGTTGTTTAAGTATATAATAAAGAAGTTTAAGTATAGAGACGACGCGACGTGATAATTCGGTTGCAAACCTGTCGTAGATTCCATACTAGAGGTATTGTTCCACATGCTTATTTGAAGCACGAAAGCATACTTCAGTAGACCACTTGTCACTTACGTAGCATGTCTGTCGGGATGTTGCTCAAAACTAGCATGCTCATTTCGGGCATGCTTGCGAATGGACAGGCGTTCAATCTTTGAACATGTTTAAGCATTATAGGGGTCGCAACATCGCCGCGACCGCGCACGCGGCTCATGAGGAAGAACCCCTCTGTAGTTCGAAACTAGTAGAGCTTTTCTCAGTATATTCGCGGGAGTAACCCGCAGTTTTTAGTTAATTTAGTATGTCTCACAAGTTATTATAAAAACATTTTTAACATGCTATTTTAGAGCATGTGTACCTTCACATTGACTATTCTATCTAATCCTACTAGGCCTTTAGCTAGAAAACCAATTTATCAAAGTTTTGCAGGATTATTTGCTTTTAAACACTTTCAAGTAGTGTCTGGAAGACTATTACCCACTTTGCACACCAAACATACAAATTCCGTTAGCGTAAAAACATGCCTGAACAATGTTAATGGGTCCAAACAAATATTTGAATAGTATAGCGTGAACTTGAAAACTCCTAATGTGTTTTAACCTTAACCCATTAACAGTGTTTGAGGTAGGTAAAGTACTACAAATTTTTAAATACTATGAGTGGAATTCATTGGAATTTTGGTATTGAAAGTGGTTGAAAGAAACCGAGGTCGGCCGTCTAATCTATTGTAAAGTTACGTGAAAACTTTCTATTTAATCGTGGGTATGTATGTATAGGTGACATCGTAACCCTGAAACTGAAGCATCGATTTAGTTATTGTTTTATGTCTATCTATAAGCCGAAATGTGTGTGTGTTTCAGCTAGCATTAAAGGAAAAGACTTCGGTAATTATATTGCTTAACTATTGAAGACGGTCGTCATTGTCTTTAGAAAATTAATAACAAGAAGCAGGGATGCTTGGGTACTACTTATGAATAACTATAAAGATTTACCCCTGCTTTTAATGCATTTGGCTAATCTTGTCACTGTTTCCGAAGTTTCTGGCAACAAATACCTAGGCAGTCATTGCGATTTGGAGCCTTTTTTTTTTTTTTTAAGGGGGGAAAATCATCGAATGACTGCTCCCGCCTGGGTGAGGCGGGAGGGAGTGTCAGACTCTTACTGACTAAAAACCACCCCGTTCCTTCTCCTGCACGTCGAGCCGGGGCCCCGGTTAGGTTCTCCGCGACAGATTTGAAGCCTAAGCCCAGCCAGAAGCCATTTTCACGCAACCTCGCTACCATTATTGATTCACACTTACACAATACCTACGTAGTGTACACGACTATTGTTGCGGTTACCATGCAAACAACTCTATAACATAACGAATTAATTTAAAATGGACACCTTAGTACCCATTCATTATGTTATACGGGGACTTACGTAACTGTTTGGCGAGGTGACATGACTAGTTGCTGCTGCTCATGACTATGGGCCCTAAGAGTGGCTTGAAACTGGTTGGCTTTTGCCATACGCTCGGGATTAATTTTAGTATAGGAATACGAAATAAACGATTGTCGACCGTGTGTCAGTTTTGTATTGAGCCTACAGCCTAACAGAAATTGTAAGAAGACACGCGAAATAATATTTCCTGGCTCTCAAGAATACCGTTAACTTTTTATGACGAACCATTACATTTAATGGCTTTATTATCCGAAAAATATTGTTGCCAGTAGTATTTATTATTAAATTAGTTTGTAATAGGTACTTTTATTAATTTATGTTCTTCATATCTTAGTTTCAGAACTATTTTAGAGACTTATTAATATATAAATGGTAATTAAATAATTCATTTATAAACTAACTTTACATTTATAAAATAATTCATTTATTTTCATTTAGTTTCAAGAATCGGACTTCACATCCCTATTTTTTTGAGGTCAGTTTATTAATATACTAAAATAAACAACAAACACTTTGCTGAAAACCGCATCAAAAACAGTTCAGCCAATGGCGAGACAAACGCGCACAAACATATATATGTAAGGTAAAACTGAGATCTGTATAGCGGTTTATCAGTATTCTACATACATGGTTAACTAACTATGCTCTTAGTCATGCAGAAATAAGTTGTAACTGCATTAAATTAAGCATTACTAACACACAAGGCAACATGAACTTTACAGGCATAGAAATTAGGCTTATTGCTGATTTTTGAGAAGAATTTTATCTTGTAATAATAAAATCTGTGATTTGTTTAAGTCTATTTTTGCATCTATTAATCCTAAAACGAATAAAAGTAATTTGATAATGATTGTATCCTATTTATTGATGAACTGGAAAGCCATATATCAAGAAAACAATTCTAAAATTGGTGTGTTTGTAAATTAGTGTGCTAATCATCTAGCTTGGTGTATTTGAGCAAATGTTTAAAAAGAATTAATGAGGAAATAGAAAAAATAATAATTAAGGAATGTGAGCTTACACAAAAAATATAAGTAAGTAAAACATAATATAATAATATACTTTTTGCACATGTATAAAACTGCTTTCAACCAGATTAAATCAAAATCTCTTAAAATAGCATTAACTCGTCGAGTACCGGTTTTGTAGACACAATTGTAGAACAATAGGTTGCGGTCACCGGTGACCGCTTGGTATTTGACAGTTTAATAAATATTTTAAACTAGAAATTACAAGTAAAACCAGTTAGAAGCAGTCTCATTCAGTCATTTAACTTAGAAAAAATGATTAGATTTGTTTAAAAAAAAAAGAAAAAAAAAAACAAAGATATTAAAATGTTAGTGTCATATAAATATAAATACATATAGTAACTTGGAACCTGGTGTGTGGACGGTGGTTGAGTACGGAGTGTACTTTGGGTATGTCGCCCGGAGGCACTTTGTTAAAGCTAGGCTCACCCTCATCTTCCGGATCCATGGCTCTTGTCGCACAAAAATAAATATAATATGTTTACATAGATATAATAATATACCTAGAACTTTAAATCAGATATTTTTTTAATTGTTTAATTGTAGAATTTTTAACAAACATAAATTACCTAGTTCTAATTCTATTGCAAGTAGTTATACCATACACATTGTAATTTTATTAGAATTTTAATAAAGTAGGTACTCTTTAAAAAATTAATTTGAAAATAAAGAAATAGTTTTTTCTTTAGCTTTTAATATTTCACAATTTATTATATTTATGTTTGTCAGAGTATGATGCCATAATTATATAAAACTGTAATTCATATCTCAAAGTAAATGTAAAATTATACATTTGTCTTCATTGTAATATTTCCAGCACAATTGTATTTCACTTATTTAATTTATATACACTTTTTATTAACAATAGCATGCTGTTTTAATTAAATTAGCCATTTGTTTACGACAAAACCTAACACGTATTGTTTCGTTAGTTCGTAGTATTTGGCGCATAGATCTAATCGTTAGTTTACTGCAGAAGTGGGCAATTATATAGGTACTAATGCAGATAGAAGTATCACCAAACTAATCATAATTTAAGCTCCAAGCATACACACCGCAAACCGGAAAACATCCACAAATCAACAACGCCGGCATTTATCATTCACAAAGTACATTTTACAGTATTTTACCAATAGTATTCAATGTAAATTAAATTTTTTCAAGCATAGGTTATATTTATACTCACGACTTAGGCCCGTTTCTCTTCGCCGATGTTATTTACTAACGAAGTTTGAACAATCAACACTAATAATTTCACATTTCTATGTCTTGATATTTTTAGATATTTTAAATTATATTAAAAACTACGAATAACCAAAAAACTACAAAAATTTTGATTGACTTATTTTTATGTTTCAAATTCGGCACACGCACGCGCGTTGCCAATTTTTAAGGCTGCGTTCGCATTTTTACGGGTGTCACTTTAACTTTTAATGAAAAATGAAAAAAAAAAATATAAATATTTAAAGTTAATTTTTCATTATTCGACGAGTAATAAATAATTATTGAAAGTAGCATGCACAGTATATTTTATTTTTAGTTATAATCACTGCCACAGCGGTGGTTTTGGTGAAGAATTAGTAAAACCACTAATACAATGCAGTCTATATTTGAGTCTATTTCTCTCCTACCGAGAAGTGCACATGTGCAAACTTGTTGTATATTTTAGGACTTCCAATACATTAATATCATAACAATATAATAATATAGTCCTCCTTACCGGTTTCGGTAACGCCTGTCGTATGCCCAATAATATACGTACGACATGTCATGTATTTTGGCCTAGTCTTATACTCTTAAAAATATATTTATCATGAGGAACTAAACCTTCTTATTTGTCGATAAATACTGTAGTGAAATAAACTTCAAGCTGGCCTATAGTCTTCCTAGTTTTTTAGAATTAAAACACAATGAAGTAGTGGGTAGGTACTGTTTCATGAGTATCCTGCGACATCTTTTAAAATAGAAAACCAATTTAATTTTTCTAAATTTTATTATACAATAGACTTATAATTAATACGCAATTAGTAGACATTTAAGCATAGTAGCTGAGGTTGGCCTTCTTCTTGGCCTGAACTTCCAAGATGGCGTCCATGAAGTCTTCGTGTGTGACGGCGGTGGCCGAGCGACGTAGGGCAATCATACCGGCTTCCACGCACACAGCCTTACATTGAGCGCCGTTGAAGTCGTCCGTGGAACGGGACAATTCCTCGAAGTTTACGTCAGGGCAAACATTCATTTTTCTGTTGAAAAAAAAAGAAAAATAGACTTAAATAAATTATCACAAGATTGTATCAAATTTTATTTTTTACAGAAATTCATAGAAAGGTTATAGATGTTGTAAAGTTTCCTTTGTTGTCACAACTCATGGATGGGTTCGAATATCTACTATGAATTATTCTACTAGTTTCGTTTTTAGGATTGCAACAGTATGTCCAACATTCAGAACCCTAAAAGGGAAAAATATTTTAGTGATGTTGTTTACCTAGAATGGATCTGCATAATACGCGCTCTTGCTTCTTCATTGGGGTGTGGGAACTCAATCTTCCTGTCCAGACGTCCAGACCTAAGCAGGGCAGGATCTAGGATATCTACTCTGTTGGTGGCTGCTATGACCTACAATCAAAAGTAAAAATTATTACTATTAAAACCAGTTCCATTTGCTAAATGGGTGTTTTTAGCAGTTCCAACAATGCATGGCTGCATTTATATATAATGTAACTTTCGTGAGACATACTTAAATAATTATTATGTTTTTCGGCTTACTCACGTAATTATTTGATAAGGAACTCGACTAGTTTCAAGCCATGCTAGAGGCTCATATTCATGAGCAGCATGGTTGCAACTCTGCCATGTTTTTTAATTCTTATTAAGTTCAGTAATTAGTGGTATGGCATAGTGACAAACAGTTGGTGTTACTTAACAAAGGCCTACATTCAGTCATGCAAGGAGATAATAATACCTTGATATCAGCAGTGGAACTGAATCCATCCAATTGATTAAGAAGCTCCAACATGGTACGCTGCACCTCACGGTCACCTGCCTTCTCAGAGTCGAAACGCTTAGTACCAATAGCATCCAACTCATCAATGAAAATAATGGCTGGTGCCTTTTCCTTAGCTAGGGCGAAAGCATCTCGGACCAGTTTGGCACCATCACCTGTAAACAAGAGAAAATACAATTAAATATTATGACAGTAAACTCTGGAATTAGCAGTTCTTGTATCCTCTTTATCTTTTCTTCTGTATGTTTTGTCTTGGTAGTCATTACATCACAATGTTTATCCCTGAAGGGGTAGGCAGAAGTGCACATTATGTCACTAAATGCCACTGTAAAATGTCACACCTACTTTTCACTATTTATTTTATGAGTCCCATGTAACACAATTCCAGACTCCGTCCTAGTACTTTGCCCTTGCCCAGCAGTCGCACTTGTGACCACTCGGCCAACGAAGCAGTCAAGTTCTTGGGTAATGTAAGGTAGTGTAAGCATAGGACATGCCTAGTAACATTTAATAGGAAAATATATAGATATACAATACTTTTGGAACTAAGTTAAAAATTTTTAAGTGTTTAGAGTTAATTATGACCATAAAACTTAATGTTTTAATATTTACCAATAAACATTTGTACAAGTTGAGGTCCAGCCAGTTTAAGGAAGGTGGACTTGGTTTGTGCAGCACAAGCTCTTGCCAGCAAAGTCTTGCCCGTACCAGGGGGGCCGTACAGCAGCACACCCTTGGGAGGATGGATGCCCAAGTTCACAAACTTCTCCTTGTGTGTCATTGGTAGGACTACAGCTTCAATCAGTTCCTGGAAACAGAAATAAAAGGATATCATTGATTCTGTCTTTGGAGATATAACCAATACGACCTTAGCTTTTATTTATTCATTTTATTTTTAGCCATGGTCGTCCCACTGCAGGGCAAAGGCCTCCTCTATTTCCACTTGTCTCTTCTTAAAGCTTTCTGTGGCTAATCCTTTTCATAGGCGTCAAGTTCATCCGAGTTCATCATTACCTTAGCTTTTGTTCATTTAAAAAGTGACCTTAATTGAACTATTCATAAATACACAATCTAAGCAGCTTATTTTTTAAACATTCCATTCTATTTATGATACTTAACCCATAAATCCCCAAGCAGTCACCGGTGACCGCTTTCCACTAATATTAAATTACATTATAGACCTTATTTCTAATGTTTAGAGAATACTTTTGTATAACCAAATTTAGGGGATGGATATCAACAGGTTAAAAAAAAATATGACCACACTACAATATCCTAAACTTTATGAAGTGAAGTCTAAAATATTTTACAGAATGTTTTCATCTTGTTTTCTTATATGTACAGTCAAAACCGTTTATAACGACATAGAAGGGACTGATTAATTATGATTGTTATAACATAACCAAGAGTCGCTTTAACCAATATCTTTATGCTTTATATGACAATAAACTGGACCTCAAAATTTCGTCCTTGTTCTCGTTTCGTTGTTATAAATAAACGATGTTGTTGTAAGCGGTTTTGACTGTATTAGTATTTATCATCAATGTAAGATGATTAGGCATTATAAACAAAACTAACCTGAATCTGTTTGTCCAATCCACCAATATCAGAGTACTGTTCAGTAGGTCTCTCGTCCACCTCCATGGCCTTCACTCTGGCGTCGTATTCAGCGGGCAAAGTCTCCAAGATCAGATAGGAATCCTTATTCACACCAACTAGGTCACCTGGCTTCAGTTTCTCAGCATCAACCAACCCAATGACTGGTAAGAAATATGTCTGGCGAGTTGAGGTCTTGATGACTGCGCACTTACCCTTACGCTGCGAGTCCAGGTCTACTACAGCTCCATCCTCCTCCTCTTCCTGAGGATCTACATCCAATAATTCAATCACATTCGATACCAGGTAAGGTAATGTTTTGTTCACTTTGATTTTCTCCGTGTTCTCCTTTATCTTGTCGTTTTGTGCCTGCAGCTCATGAGAGATCCTCATAACTTCACTCTTCATTATTTTAATCTCATTGTCTAGCAGTCTTGTTCGGCTGATGATCTCGTCTGTGGGCATCCGGAGAACTTCTTCACTCAGCGCTTCCTCACCATCTTCCCAAATTGATTTATCTTCTAATGTAGTAGCCATTTTCAGAATTAATATTATCTAAACGAGTTATGTTGTGAGAGAAATGATGCAAAACAAATTGTTCAAAAAATCTTGGAGTCACCAAAATGAATTGTCATTCCGGTTTCAGGGATGACAGTAACAAAATATCTAACCTGAAAATGTTATCACTAGGTAAAAAAGGAAATTATAGATTTTTCAGTTTATCTTACTCTATTTCAATGAACAATCAAAATTAAATTAATTATTACGCACTTAGATTAATTTCAAGATTATATTGAAAAAAACTCACTTAAAGGTGAAATGATGACTGTTCACTGACCTGCATATCTCACTCGTTGGACATTGTATGGCAGTCTTTAAAGCACAATTTTTTCACAATCTTTGAATTCACCATGACGTAAGCTGTCATGTCATTGTCAAAAAATTTTGGATTTGGAAATGTGATGTAGATGTATTTTTGACGTATATGCGAAATTTCGTTTCTTGATGCAGTGCTAAAATATTAAAGTATATATTCTTTTAGGGGGTTTTTACAGTAAACAAATAAAAATATGGCCCTTTCCACCTTTCTTCGTACGCCAGGTAAGAAATCACGTGAAATGATTATTGTTTTGTTATTACATAATAGCAATCTGTTGTCAAGAGGTTTTACTCCTTTTTAGCTCAACGTTGCACATTAAATGCAATTTATTATAAGCTTTAAATCTGTAAATTTATTTGTGGTTATCTTCGTCTTTTGAACATGACAAATTTTACTATTTATCAACAATAATAAATTGTTATTTTATCTGGTTTTGTGGTCACTATAACTACTGGACCTACTATAGTTACTGGTAACACGAAATATTCCTATTAGAATGTTAAAGATGAGATTAAAAGCAACAGATTTTGATTTTGATAACTTTTGGAATTATATCAGATTTCATACTATGGCTTCCTTTTCCCTGTTTTAATATCAGCTTTACTTAAGTCAGCAGGCTAAAAACTTTATTTAAACTGTCAAATACCAAGCGGTCACCGGTGACCGCAACCTATTGTTCTATAATTGTGTCTGCAAAACCGGTACTCGACGAGTTAAAAAAAATAATAATTTCATGGAGGATGTGTAGAGCATTGTTCTGGTACTGAAACAATGCAATTGTTTATAAAGACACAATATGGACGATGTAGTATGTATGCTACACCTATACCTTCATGTGATAGATAGGTATATAGAAAAACATGAACACAACATGTTTGTTTTTACAATTTTAATGGTTTTCGTGTTATTCATGCAACATCAGCCTTGATTAGTCGATAACAACTATTATAACATAGAGTAAACCTTTGATTCTTTGCTTTTTTGAAAATATAACATGGTTTGTATAATTAATCACCTGTCTTCACTTTTTGCAATCATTCTGTTTACGCCCTCTATAGATGTGTACATATTGATACAATAATAGGTTTACTAACTTCTATCCTCTCTAAGCTCTCCATATGAGATCTATACAAAGTTCAAAGATATTTTTAACTTGACCCCACCCCAACGCAACATGCAACTGGCTGCCGCGCTGGATTCCTGCACAGAACAACTCTTTGTGTGATCCAATGATTGTTATTCCAGGTCTAGGTGTCATGTGTATGTGAACTTGTATGTTTGTAAACAAACCCATGATACAGGAGAAAATCCTAGAGTGAGGCAATTTTTTTTCCAAAAGAAAAAATACTGTGCTTGATTAACTGGTATCATGTTATTGGCAATAAATAAATAGAGCAATACATTTTCCTTCTAGCCCATATATCCTCAAGTGGTCACCGGTGACCACTCTCCACTAACTGCATTATAGACCTTATTTCCAATGTTTAGAGACTACTTCTCTATGAACAAATTTAGGGGATGATTTTCAACGCTCTAGTTCTAAACCATAATAATAACTTGTTTTAAAAAGGTAAGAAGTTTTTATTTCTTGTATATTTTCACAGTATTGGCCGGCCGTGTTTTTACTCAACATGTCTTGAAGTATGGGTCACTGAGTTGCATGCAGCGACCCCTAGCCAGTATGGTGCCCCGTATGGTGCCTAATGTGGTGCCCATCAGCCAACATGCATTCAAGGAAGCCGCCCACACTCCCATTATTAACTCTGTAAGTTAATTAATTTGTTGCATCGAAAACAAGCTTCATACAGTTGCTGATCAATTGAACTGATAGATAATTAACTTTTTGTAATTCATTTTCTTGTCTGCTAGAATATGTTAAACTGATCTAATTCAATCTGAAAATTGTTTTAACTTTAACAGACAAGAATCATTTTATAAGTATATAAAAACACTTTTAATTTTGGTGTACCACAGGGTGCAAGATTGGGTCCTTTTTTTAGGCAAACATTTCTTTAAAATTTATCTTATACTATTATCAATTCTTAATTTTAATTTATTATATAAAGCAAATAATTGCCGGTATATGGCAATAGGCTCACCCCCTATTATATGGGACTCATAACATAAATATTGAAAAGTGGGTGTTACATTGTACAGTGGCAGTGCAATAATGTGCACCTTTGCCTACCCCTTCGGGAATAAAATGTGTTATGTTATATAAAGTTAAAGAATTTGGTTGTTTGTTTGAACGTGCTTATCTCAGGAAATACTGGCCTGATTTGCAAAAATCTTTTTGCGATAAATACTCCATTTATCGAAGAATGCTATAAGCTATAAACATCACGCTACGATCAATAGGCGCTGTGCAGAGCGGGTTAAACAGCGCGGATGTAACTAGTGCTGCATAATTAAAAACAATATTAATTATTTCAGGTACGATCATTCCGTACGTCGCCTGTAAGGCTTTCGGACGAGAAGCCCCATGATCACTCGAAACTGTGGGTGATAGAGAAATCAGTGGCTGCACTCATGGTACCTCTACTTCCTTTGGGCTTGTTGATCCCAAACAAACTCTTTGATTCAGTCATCGCTATCCTCATTTGTGCACATTCATTTTGGTAAGTGGAAACGTTATTTTGATACGGAAGTTAATAACATAATTATCTGAATGCAAATTCAATCGTTTTATGACAGAATCTCCATAAAATTGATGTCAAAAAACAATCCATGTATGCAGATTTTGTATTAAGGTATCTTATTAATTTTGGCTGTAAAATTACATTTTTATTCCCAATCCTCTAAAGCCTTTTCCAAATTCCTTAAGATCCGTTTTGATCAGATTCCTGAAAACATGTTTTTCGCGTGTTGCCGAACATGTTTTTTTAGGAAAAGTAGCCTCATTTTTCTAAACTAATATTATAAAGCTGAAGAGTTTGTTTTTTGTTTGTTTGTTTGTTTGAACGCGCTAATCTCCGAAGCTACTGGTCCAATTTGAAAAATTCTTTCTATGTTGGATAGCCCATTTATCGAGGAAGGCTATAGGCTATAAAATATCATCGCTACGATTAATAGGCGCCGAGCAGAGCGAGTGAAACAGCGCGGAAGTAGCTAGTACATAATATAATCCAAGATTGTCATCCAACATTAAAGTATTGAAGCTCCATCCTTTCTCCATCCTGCCAATCTTTCCCAATCCCCAGGGGTCTCGAAGCTATGGTTGTGGAATACGTGAGAGTGCTCCTATTTGGTGCCTTAATACCAAAAGTAGCGATGGGAATCGTTTATTTAACATCGGTGACAATGCTTGGAGGGCTCTTCTACTTGATCTTCAATGATATCGGCCTCTGCAGAGCCTTCTGGAGGATTTGGAGGAACATGAAAAAGCCCAAGGTCGTCAAGAAGAAGAGGAGGAAGTGTTAGATGAAGGTTAATTGTTTTGTCGGTTGTAGATACTTTATGTAGGGGTTAGAAAGATCTACCGGTTAGTAAAGTGATTGATAGGTCTATAACTCTTGATCGACCAGGCGGTTGAATAGCTCCTCAAGTGATAACCAGACTTACAAAATGTTGCGCCGATATCTAAGTTATATGTTTACTACTATGCGATGTTATTTATTATGCTGCCAGACAAGCTGACGTTCGTTGAAAAAGAGAGGCGGAAAAGTGCCCTTTATGAACACATTTATATTAAAAATTTTGTGAGACATACTAAATTAATTATTCTATGTTTTCGGCTTACTCGTGTTACTGTTCGACGAGGAACTCGACTAGTTTCGAGCCCCGCGGCTCATATTCTTAACAGCAATTCGCGACCCGCGACGCGGCGACTGTCGACTGCGTCTAACTAGCATGGCTTGAAACTATTAGAGTTCTTCGTCAAACAGTTACGTAAGCCGAAAACATATTCAATAATTTGGTATGTCTTCACTACTTCACTACATAGTATAAAACAAAGTCGCTATCCGCCGTCTGTCTGTCCCTATGTATGCTTAGATCTTTAAGACTACGCAACGGATTTTGATGCGGTTTTTTTTAATAGATAGAGTGATTCTTAACTCGTCGAGTACCGGTTTTGCAGACACAATTATAGAACAATAGGTTGCGGTCACCGGTGACCGCTTGGTGTTTGACAGTTTAAGGAAGGTTTATATGTATAATACATGCACATTGCACCCGTGCGAAGCTGGGGCGGGTCGCTAGTTGAACCTAAACATCAAGAAATGCCGTAAAACAACATCTCTGTCTAGCGCGTATTACAAACATGATACGGCTAATAAATGTTGATGAATCATCACTGATATCTCTAGACAGATTGAGTGATCATTAGCTCCTATCTAATCATGAACTTCTCGTAACGTAAGGTTAAGTATCGCTCACCTCTAGCCTCACTAGGTGATAGATGTACGGGGCGTAGGATGTCATGACTTTTTTCAGTAGTATCTACTACCGATAATGTTTGGCCAGCTTCCTCCTGATCCTACAAATCCTACCAAAGGTATTTCTGTACTACTAACGAATGTATAAATTCAAATTTCGTAAAAAGCTAAGTCGGTAATGTTATCTACTGGAACTTAGTTAACGCATGTGATCTTTAAACTTAAAGTGATTGACGAGGCAAACCATTTGCGCTCTTATGAAGCATACTTAAATCATATTATTCCATACTCCTTTTTAATCAAAATCATCTCTTAAAGTTATACAATACGATATATAAGGTGTAGTTTTGAAGCCGTGACATTTCTCGGAGGCATGTCACAGAAGTCATAAAGGTTCAATGTAAGAGAAAATTTCGGGCCAATAGTTAAAAATACAGCTACAATAAATCGCTTTAGTTCGACAGTATTTCAGAATAAGCGACAGCAATGTTTCTTATTGGAGTATTATGGAATTAGGAATAATATCAATTACATGTTTGAGTCTGTGTTAAGCCGCGTTATAAAGCTAGTTACAAGACGACGGCGTGTAGTTCGCACTTATGATTTCCGTATTTTACAGAAAAATGAAAAATATTTACCTACAATTTTTTTTATTGACTAGGTCTCAGAATCGATAGCCGAGTTACCTCTTAGAAAATGACGCGGCTTTAAAACAACACCTTGTATATTAAACTTAACATACGCTAATTTTTCGTATTTCTCTTACAGGGGTCTGGAAGCGATCGCTATAGACTACGTTCGCGCCAGTGTTGTTGGTCCCATCCTTCCCAAAATTGCCCTCGGGCTCGTATACCTCATCTCCATAGCAATGCTTGGCGGCCTCTTCTATATCATCGGCCACGATGATGGCCTCGCGAACACCATCAAACAAATCTGGGCCATCAAATCTGACCGTCAAAAATCATAAATGCGGTAAAATAACTATTTAAATAGTATTAGGATTAGCTGAAGCCTTTAGCTCTAACTTTAACCTAAGATTTTGATATCCACATAGGTTTCAATAAAGTTATGATTTTGATAATGATAACTTTAATAAGTAACGTTGTTGATATATTAGTAATTAGGTTATTGTTACCGTTTCAATGTGACAGCTGACCGCTTAATTGTAGTTCGAGAATAGTCGCGAGGTCTGTGGCTCGAGGGGGATGCTCGATTACTATATCTGGCAATGCTGTGGATCACTGAGTTATAGCAACTCTGCAGAAATATAAACTCTGCAATTGAATACATATGGTCATCATTTGAATTTGAAAATGTAACTTAGAATTACACGAATGAAGAAGTGATTGGTCCAAATTAATTCTCAATTTGCAGAGAAAAGGCTGCAGAGCGGTGCGAAAATGCATTTGTTGTGGGGATGTTATAAAAACGAGGACATTTGATTTCATTTCGTTCTTATTTTGAGTTATGCTCAAGGTTAATTGTTTTGTCTTTTACTGACGTAAAATGATTTACAAGTTGCAAGGTGCTTGTAATCTGATTATGGGTACAATTGTGATGTCTTATATTAAACTTAAGTTTTTAAAGTTAATGTTCCTGGTTTCTATAAAACCGCCATGGCCCGTATTAGGTACTTAAAGCACAAGATCATGAAATTTCGTCGTTTATCGAGTTATTATTTATTTTTATTATTACCATTTAATCATTTGTTCTAAATTGTAAATGTGCGGTGTGATTTATTATTAGAATAAATGATAGTTGGAAATTGTATTGTTTTATTAATATTAAACACTCGAGACAATCATTGATTAGTGATTCTTGCCTTCCAAATGAAGGTTCACAGACTAACTGATAGAACATATGGTGTATGAAATGCACGGGCCTGCGGATGGCGAGCATGGGAGCCGCCCGGCCAGAACCAGACCCGAGCGTACAACGCGTCGCGATCCCCGCGCGCCTCAACGAGCCATCAGATCACCATGGATGGGGCCCAATAGGGCTGGAGCCGATACGGAGCCGCAGAGAACGTAAACGATACCCGGGGGTCCGGCTCGAAGTTAGGATTTAGGATTAGGATCGGGGTGGTTGTTGTTATTAGTAAGAGTCAAAACAATGGTGTATGAAATAAACTGGATCTTGTTTTCAATCATTAAGTGCATACAATCAAAACTAATATTTAATTACAAAAGAAATGTCATTCAACGGGAGGCCCATACATTAAGTTACACACGACAGTTTATTTTCCAGCAGCATTCTTCCATCTTTTTCTCGAACATAATAATTAAGTATCTATGACTAGAAATCGAACGCACGAAGGGGTCACATAGAAGACAACTATACTTATCCCTCGACCATTAAAAGTCAACTTCAGGCACATCATATTCAGTTGTCCCTAGCACTTTGTCATGTATTTCTTTAATCTTGGTCCCGATTTCCGTCACTTCACGACTCGTCAAATGGGCAGACTTTCCCTTTAACTCCAACATATCTAGGAGGCGTACTATCTTCTTCCAGTTCTGATCGTGTGTTTGTGAACGTTTTTCTCCTGAGCTGTAGAACTGAATACCCGCTTTTTCTCTATTTTTCTTCAGATGGTACAGCAGTTGTGATCTGATTGTCAGGTTGGGTGGTGAAGTTGGCTGAAATTGAGTGAAATCTTCATAAAAAGTAGAATCTTGGAAGGAAACTAGGTAAGGAAGATGGGTAGATGAATGGAGAAGTGAAAAGAAGAATTATTGGACTAGTGTTCTGTTCACTCTTGTCTAAATCATGTATTCCAATTTATTAGACCAGTCAAAGGCATTTTTGAACGTCAAACTCATTTTAGTTACTTAGCGCCTACTCACCTCGTCGGCGAAATAGAAGTCGTCCATTGTGACGGCACTGTCGGCATTGGTGTCCAGCGATCTGGAAATAAATTCTTATGAATATATTTAGGGCTCTACACGTCATAGGTACAGCAGAAACGCTGTTGATACAGATGGACATTAAATTTTTTATAATAACTATCGTGAGTTACTAAATTAACTAAAAATCGCGGGTTACTCACTGAATATACTGAGAAAAGCTCCACTGGTTTCGAACCACAAAAGGGTTCTTCCTCATGAGCAGCGTGCGTGCTTTTGAGGCAGTATTTTCATGTGAGTAACCCGCGATTTTTAGTTATTTTGACATTACATTTGGTACGTATACAGGTAGTAATTCTTATTTCATTGCGCAAGTGACAAAAAAAGTTACTACAAGACCAAGAACTCTCGGCATCGATTCCAGGGTCTACAAAGTAGTAGGTAGGTGGGTTATAATTATGCCTTTGTAAGCCAATCAAATAGAGAACATACCAGAACTGGTTGTTAGGCCCTCGGAAGACTAAAAATAGCCCTCTTTTCCCCCTCAAAAAAAAGCCATGCCTAACTAATTTTTAAGGGGGAAAAATCATCCAATAACTTCTCCAGCCTTGGGTTAAACGAGAGAGTGTCAGACTCTTATTGACTAAAAACCACCCCGTTCCTACTTCTGCTCCTCGAGCCGGAGCGCTGGCAACTCGTCAGGCCTTCCGCGGCTCCGTAGAGGCCTTTAGGCGGTTTAGGTTTCCGTGGTTAGGCATGGCTACATCACATTATTTCTAGTCATTTCATTTCTTTACAAACTTACCTCCGTCTAACTTTATTCTTCTTCGGTTTTGGAGCGTTCTGCAACGTGAATATGGGCATCATTACGATCCTGGGCTTGCACGTGACGTTGGTCCCATTAGTGGACGGTGGTGAAGGCCACATTGTATCGGACTGCGGGAGTGGTACCGATAGCTTCTCTACTGTTTGTTGTATCGGTTTGAGCACATTGAACGATTGCTGTTGAGGCTGGTATTCTTTTGATGTCGGAAATGGACTTTGTACTGAAATAAATTATATTTTAGTATTTACGTCCTCAATATTATTTCATAAAGAATTAAAAGAGGAATATCGATTACAAAGACAGTATCGACACAGAGAATTTCTGACAAAAACCCCTTTGCACGTTTGATTCGTGGTTTGGGTTAAATAAATATTATTGGATGTTTTAGTTTTTCATAAATTCTCAGAAGCGACACGGAGTTTGGAATGCTGCGCAGCGCTTTATCACGTGGCACGCTTCCCAATTATTTCATTGGACTTTGCGATGACGACAAGTAAAGCGGTTGCATTTCATAATGTTTAACTCTACCTACCTATGCAGTGTCCAAACTCCCTTTTCCTCTGAAAAAACCTGTTCTTCATACTTGAAGAACCGCCACTGCTATACCAAAGTAAAAGTAGGTACATACCTACTTCAGTCAGAGGTTAGTACGAGTTTGAGTTACGTTTAAAGTATTCGAAACCAGTACGCAATCGGCACTCTGATTGGCCGGCGCCAATGAAGCAACCAATCATAGCGCCGAACGCGTACTCGTTACGATTACTCTAAGCGTAAAATAAACTCGTACTATTTAGGGCCTCAGTATAATACCTACATGGTAGTAAAATAAAAAAAGTTATTTCTTACTGGCATTCTTAAGTTTGGGTACACAGAGACAGTCTTCATCCTCCCTGTACCCTAAGGGACAGCCGCACCTTGGAGACGCCCTGTCTTCAGGTCGCGGCTGGTCGGTGTTGTATACTGGCATGTTCTGGACCGGTGAGTGTGACAAGTAACACTTTAAGTGGGTCATCTGGAATGTTGGATAAGACGTTAAACGCAATGGGGGTCACTGGTTACCAACGTTCGCAGAGGATTTGCTTTTAACAGATTTCTTTTGGCAATCAGACTTACAGATAAGTGATGACTTCTTTCTGAATTAATAAAGTATTAGGGTAAGAGGAACGGACAACCAGATTGCGGTTTACCGGGCACTGGCTTGAAACATAGGTACGAAGAGGAACGGGGCGGTTTTTATTCAGTAAGTCAGAGTATAACACTACCTCTCGCCTCACCCAAGGCGGGAGAAGTCATTGAATAATTCCTCCACCCTCTAAATTATCAAAAGGTAGATAACTAGGTAGTTTTGCCACTTACTTCATCTTGAAAAGATTGATACACTGCCAGTGCACATCCGATGTGTGTCAAGTCTCCCACTACTAGTCTCAGGTAGCGCAGCTTTTGGTCTCTGAAAATTTATCAATTATTTCAGGGCTGAGAAAGACGGTAGAGGATGACCTAAGAAAGTTATGGATGGAATGTGTGAAAACTGACATGGAAGAGAAGCAGAGGCGTAACTGTACCATTTGGGGCCCGTGGCAAATTCATCAGATGGGCCTATCTATCGTTCACACGCCGACTTGCTACCCTGTAGTTACGCCACTGAAGAGAAGAGATTAATTACTTAATGAACGAATTACGCAATATATCTTCTGCTGCTATCCTCTATCATAGAAGTAGACATATTGCGTCGAACCTAAGTAGGTAACTTTGTATACGAACTGGAAAAATAATAGTCTTTATTCGTTCAAACAGAGGTGGGCTATTTACTTTTTTGTACTTACTCATCTTTTACATTTGGTCCTACGAAGACATCATCGGTCGTAACTCTATATTCCTCAAAGTTCCTCAGAATATCATCCACCGCTTCTTCCATGGAGTCCACGTTCATGCTGGACGAATATGCCATTACAGGGTTGTGAAATTTTGCTAAAATTGAAACATTTTTTGGTTTTGGGACAATTTTTGTTTTCTTCGATGACTTAAACCCTCGTTTTAGGGGCCAAATGGGGTCCTTCGATATCTAGTAAATAAAATCTTATGGGATTATAAAACCGATTACCTACCTCTACGGTATCATCATCATCAGTATAATACGGTTCTTAGTGTGGGAGAGCCATGCTTCGGTGCGAATGGGCCGACTCGACCGGAGTGATACGTGTGCGTTACCCAGGCAAAATGTTTTGCTTTAGAGAGATGAGACTTAAACAAATAATTAGTGTATCATGAGGAGCAATTTGTTTACTAATAGCAAAATTTGTTTGAATTGTAGTTTTTAAGTTATTTGAGAAAAACAAATTTTGCTGGAGTAACGTTTGAAACGTTACCCAGGCAAAATCGTCTTTCAAAAATTAGTTTCAGCACGGAACCAAATACATGAATAGATAGCTTTTGTTGCGTAGTAAATGTTTATAAATAGCAAAATTTGTGTGTGGTATAGTTCTTTAGTTATTTAAGATTTTGCTGCGGTAACGTTTTGGGATTTCCCAGATCTCGAAAACGGCTCAACGCAGAAGTTTGAAAAAAATACCAATAAAAGACCTCAATTTGTTTAAATTTGTTTAATCATTAGTTTTTGATTTGGTTGACGTAAACCAATGTAATTAAATGGTTTCAAAAATCAGAAGAAACGGGTTTGCAAGTAAACCAATACACTTATAACCAAATAAACAGCTGTAAAAAATACCCGTGGTTCGACGCTTGTTTACA